TCTGCCTTCGGCTCAGGTCATGATCTCAGGGTCCTGGGATCGAGCCCTGCATCGGGCTCTCTGCTCAGCAGGGAGCCTGCTTCCTCCTCTCTCTCTGCCTGCCTCTCTGTCTACTTGTGATCTATTTCTGTCAAATAAATAAATAAAGTCTTTTTTTAAAAAAAGGACAATAAACTGATATAAAAGATGTAACATGGGGTGATAGATATTAGGAGGAAAAGTAAAGAAGGGAATGAAGTGGTAGGCATGCTGTTTTACACAAGGCTCACAAGGCTGTGGGAGAGAGCCCCCTGGAAGAGTAATGTTTGAATAGGGACCAGAAAGATGGAGAGGGGCTGATGGGAGAGTGGATCATGGGAGATAATACCTGGAGTGAGTTCCTGACAGAGGCTGTGGTCAAGGTAATTGTGCTGAGTGACAAGATGCCCAGGGCACCAGAGGTCCAGCAACACACCAAGGTAGATTGACTGGAGTCATAGTAGCTGGGATCAGAGACTTGTGGGTAGAGGTGGTAGGACCTGTAGGGCATTGCCATGATTCTGGGTTTGGTTCTGGGTGAAGGGAAGCTGTGGGGGATTCCAGCAGAGGTTGTGCACCATCTGGCTTATGCTTTAGATGGGTCCCTGACTGCTGTGCTTAGGCAGGTACGGCAACAGAGAGATCTGGACAACAGGGGTAAGAGCAGTAACAGTAGAAATGGGGAAGTGATTGGATTCTGGATATATGTATTTTGGAGGTTGACTGAGAGCATTTGCTGACTGAATATGGGTGAAAACAGAAGTTCCGAATAAACTGTAAGGTTTGTGACTTGAGTAGCTAGAGAAAGGAGTTGCAGTTGACTGAAAATGGAAAAATACCTTTATGTTCACACAATCATTGCAATTATTTAGAAGCTATAGGACTCATGGGCTCATGCATGGAAGTGTCTAGAAGGGGAGTTCTGGGAAAATGGTCAGTTCAAAAGGAGCAAGTTGAATATTAATTGAAAGTTAGGATGTGCCCTTTTAGAAAGAGATGATACTATTCCTGGGGAATATAGCCATGGAAGAAGAACCCCGCTGTCCACGTTTGGAGATAGTGGGGGTGGGGTAAGCGGAGACATCAAAGTAAGATGGCGACTGCTCAGTGATGTGCCTTTACCTGTGCTTTTTGCCGCTGGATGAAGCCAGTGTGTTCGTGGTGGGTTCTTGCTTTCCTCAGCACAATCATTGTAAAACGTCCCACAGAGGACGGATGTGATAAATAAAGAAAACACAGATGTGGAATTCTGGTGACTAGCTTTTCTGTAGGACTGAGAATTTTGGAAACGTTGGCCCCAATACCTTAGACTTGAAGCAGTTGTATAATAGTGTCTGTACGCCTCTTGTTCTCTAAGATGCTTCCATGTTTGGTGTGTTAAACTGCTCCAGCAGTGGCAGCTGTTTCCACATAATTGGTGGTACACTCGCTCCCTGTTGGTCTGACATCAAAATTTTGTGGCTCTTGGAATTACAGGAGGTTAAGAAAACTGACCTAGGAAACTGGGAGCAAATGGAGTCCACCACGAATTGGTATTTGCTATTGGTGAATGAAGTGAGGATGCATTTCTGGAAAATGTGTGTTGATCAGGGCCACTCTGTGGCTGGCAGCGGGTGAAGTAAGCATGTGACAAGGCAGTAGCGCTGGCCCTCTAGCAGTCCATGATCTGCTTAGTGAGGAAAATTTGAAGTGTGTGAAGCAGGCGTGCCAAGTTCAGGCTTAGATGCCCTTACACATCGCTGGAAGTTTCAGGACAAGCTTTGTCATTGGCTGAACTGCTTGTAGTATGAAGACCTGGGGAGTTTGGAAAAGTTAGCAAACATTAAACTGGAATCATTTAAAGGGCAGCATCCAAAGTGACAGGTTTGATGTCTACCATAAGCTCTAGGGTGTGCTGAAATGTTTGTAGATGGAGCATGAGTGTTTGAATCAGGACAAAAAATGAAAAATAAATTGCAGGGCTGCAGTGGACCAGTTTGAGAAGCTTTGACTAATTGTAGAAAGAAAAGTAGAGGCACTGACAACCCAGCAAATTTGGAAAAATGATCTATTTAGAGAGAGCCCTGTTGGGACTGTGATTTGATGTGAAGAAGGAAATGGGATCATGGAACATGGCCCTATGCTTACAGGTTTTTCTCCTTATGTTTTGTTTGAAACATTTACAGCCTCACAGTTCACTGACTCCATTTTCCCAGATTTAAAATAATACTTCCCCTCTTGGGGTTATGATTCTGATTAAAAATGACTTACGGACTAAGAGCTTGTGCCTCTATATGTGATGAAACGGATTTTCTTTTTTTGTTTTCTTACACTTTATTCTTGATTTCCTTCTTCCTTGGCATTCATTTTGTCTTGGAGGGCTTTGTTGGAAATAGGTAAGGAAATCACATCATTCTTATTTAGGAATTATCTTTCCTCTGCTTATTTTTCCACCCTCTGTTAATTGGTGATATAACAATCCTCCCCAGAGAGAGTAATTGTAATTCTGCAAGCTGAAAAATTTAACTTCAGGTGAAAAATAAGTAGCAGAAATTGATGAACCTTAAACAATAAATATTTGTATTTGACACAGATGCCACTAGTAATTAGGAGGAGATCACTAAGCGGAATGGAGTTGAAGTCACTCAGATACTCTGAGGGGTTCTTGGCGCATTTAGAGGACCCAGTAGCCAGCTAATAGGGAGTGTTTTGTTGAATGTCTGTGGCACATTGCCACCTTGTGGATGCAATTTTTCCTTTTAATGCAAAAGAGCAAATTTCTACCAGTACGTCTATATGATATCATCTTATTTTACCCTTTCCCTACTATTTATAATTTAAATTGATAACAGAAGATTTGAGACATCTTAAAAGGTTACATATAATACAGGGTAGGAGAATTGAAGAGAATGTCCTTGTTCTTAGCAGAGGCATGCTGAAGTTTTGAGGGGGGAAGATTCATAATGTCTGCAAGGAACTCTCTAATGTGTTGGGGTGGTGGAAAGAGAGAGAGCAAAAACAGTATGGCAAAAGGTTAACTTTTCACCAGGGGTCATGGGTGCCCTTAACTCATTGTACTGCCCTTAAAACTTTTTTTGTCATTACAAATTTTGTTCTGAAATTTTTCAAATTAGAAAAAAAAAATTGGAAAGAGGGGTACCTGGCTGCCTCATTTGGTAGAGCACATGACTCTTGGTGTCAGGGCTGTGAATTTGAGCCCCACGTTGGGTATGGACCCTACTTTAAAATAAAAAATATTTTAAAAATTGGCAGGGAAAATGAAAACAAAACAAAACACGAAACCCAAAACCAACTGGGGTAAGGGCTTAAAATGGAGCCAAGAAGAAAGCAAAATAACCTCTACATTGTGTAATGATCGGACTACGCTTGGACCACTGATTGCATTTTCCAGTAGCTGATGGGTCACTCAGGGTTCCCTTGCTCCAATTTGGTGTCCATAAGGTTTAAGGCCAAGGTGTCTAAAATTAGATACAATTCCTTCTTGGAGGTCCTCCTAAGTAGGACACGGTTGTAATGAAGAGCGGACTCAACAGATAGCTTCCAAGAGTGCAATCTGGAATCCCTTTTCCCTACTGATCTGGCTTGGATACACTGCAAGGTTTTTGGGGACCTCTCACAAGAATACGGACAATGAAATACAGTAAATAACTGATGGGCAATGGAGTTGGGGTTGTACCTATTGACAAGTGCCTGAAATCCAGCTGTTCCGGGTCACTAATGAATGCAGTGAGCTTGGGGGAGAGCTGACATCTTATAATAGCTGAGCCAGTGAGGTCTGCTCCACATCAGTGAGCTTGGGAGGAGTTATCCACAGGCAGGGTTAAATTTCTTTTTGTGCGGTGGTTTTGAATATGCTTCAGTACAAAGACAAGTGAATGATTTTGCCCCTAAATTTCATTTTCCTATAAAATATATCCTTGATAGTCTTAATCTGAAAAAATGCTGACAGGTATAACCAGATATCCTTCTCTCTGCCCAGGAAGACAAAACAAAATACGTCTCAATGAAGCATCCTTAGAAATGCCCACATTTGAGCAATGCTACTGAAGTCTTGTCTGGATTTAAATTTCTACAAGGTGTTTTTTTCTGTGGCACGTGGAATTTCCATGAATACCTTTTGTAATTCTCTCTTGTTCTTAATAACTGTCTGGAGATAGATACAGGCATGTGAACGTTTTTGTCCTTAATAACCATCTAAACCCATATATATGTGTCTATACTTCGAAGGTAAACATTTTAGAAAATATGGCCCTATTCAAATATGAAAGGGTTTTTTTTGGAAAAGGAGGACAGATCTTGAAATAAGGGATTCTTTTGTAGAAAGCTGTTGCTTGAAGTGGTTTTAGTTTCTCTGATTCTTAGGACAGGTTTTCTTTTAAAAAGCGATCAAGTGATAGAGGGATGTATTGATTTGCATTCAGGGCCGTGGTGCTTAGAAATTGCCCTTCCCTGCACATATTTGTGAGCTCCAGAAGCTTGTGGATTTTCTTTTGTGAACAACTAAAGCAGTTATCTATTGATTCTCTATAGAATATTGTTATTCATTTTTTAGAGCGATCATTGCCCATGGAAAGACATATATTTGACCCAGTGACTCGGGACACATGTGCAAAAATAGCTTTATCAGACATTTCATGAAACGGTACCTTTCTTTCCTTCATTAGACTCTAGCAACTTCTACTGTATTAAAAAAAAAATACTGCTTAGATCTGCTAAACTTGATTTCGTGACCCACTAGTTTGTTGTGACCCACAGCTTAAAAATCGTTGCTATTGAGATTTTGCAGTAAGCCAGAATGTTTTTCAGATGCAGGACCCAACAGTGAAACCCTGAATTGCCTAAAGTAACCAGATGGGCAGCAGCCTTGGGTGGGAGGGATTTCGAGAAGGCTAAGAAAAGAGGAGCCTGGGACCAATTGGTGTTGCATGCTGGGTGTCTTGAGAGTGTCCTTAGTGAGTGACGCCCCTTCTTTCTCTCTGCAGCTTGACCACATACTGTCCCCGCCACCCATGCCGTTTCGGAAATGCAGCAACCCAGATGTGACTTCTGGCCCTGCAAAGTCATTGAAGTTTAAAAGACAGCTGAGTGAGGATGGTCGAGAGCTGCGGCGGGGCAGCCTGGGAGGGGCTCTGACAGGTGAGTCATGAGGGACGGACGTGGCAGAGGAGGACCCACCAGCAGGGGCTGACAGGTGCCCGGTCCCATGTGTGAAAACCCACCCGTCCCTCTACACACTGTTTGGTAAAAGCTGATCCAATCCAGACAGCAGTAGAATTGCGGATTTTACAAATGAAGTTTCTTATTGAAATAAAATTCACATACAGTAAAATGGACTCATTTTAAGTGTCCATGTGTATGGATTTTGACAAACGTATGCTGTCACATAGCCACCCCCACAGTCCAGATACAGAATGGATCCTTGGCCCCGACTGCGTCGTTCTCACGCCCAATCTTCCTTTCTTGGCCCCAGGCAACCAGAGATCTGCTTTTGGTCACTGCAGCTTAGCTTCATCTTAAAAATTTAACATGAATGGGGAGCACCTGGGTGGCCCAGGCGGTTGGGGGTTGCCTTCGGCTCAGGTTGTGGTCCCGGGGTCCTCGGGTCGAGCCCCGCATCAGGCTCCCTGCTTGGCAGAGAGCCTGGCTTCTCTCCCTCTGCCTGCCGCTCGGCCTGCTTGTGCTCTCTCTCTCTCTCTGTCAAATAAATAAAGAAAATATTAAAAAAAAAGAAAAAATTAACATGAATGGAGTCAAACAGTACATGTTCTTTGTGTCTGGCGTCTCTCACTCAGTATGTTTTTAAGATTCATCTATGTTGGTGCATGTATCTGTAGTGTATATTGAACTTCATAAGAAACTGCCAAACTGTTTCCAAAATTGTACTGTCTTTACATTCCCACCAGCAACAGATGAGCGATCTAATTGCTCTGCGTCGTTGCCAACTTGTGGTATTGCCAGCCTTTTTAATTTTAGCCATTTTAATGGGTAGACAGTCCTGTCACGCTGTGGATTTAATTTGTATTTTCTTGACGACTAAATGATGTTGAACGTCTTTTCATGTGCCTGTTAGACGTTCACTTATCTTCTATGAAGCATCTCTTCAAATCTTTCATCCTTTTTTTCCTTTCATGCGCTTTTTCGTCATGTTGTAAAAAATTAAACTTTTTCAGATACAGAGAACTCACAAATCACTTGTATTGACTTGAAAGATAGCCAACTTAAGATAATTTTTAAGCATTTTTAATAACTCACCGTATAAATTTTCATGTTATTAGACTTTAAATCACTGAAGGTTAAATTTCTATTTCATTTTGAGTGCTTTTTCCTCTAAATATAAATAACCTTGCAGAAAATGTTTTTTAAACCCCAAAGCAAAGTTTTCTCAGTATGTGATGGTCTTCTCTGCCTGTTCTTCAGTGGTCTGTAAATAAGTTCAGTTATTTACATTTTTTTGGAGAATTATGGATTTTGACTTTCTGGAGATGAAAATTCTGGGAACAAAAATGATTCTGACATTAGACCCAGTAGAATCTAGAACATTTGACCCATTGTGGCATACTGCTGGAATGCAGGGTGAAACTGACCTCAGACCAAACGGAAGAAATTCATAAGAAAAAAACCCTGCTCTACTTCACTAAGTTTAAGTAAATGTTCATGCCTGAGTTTTACTGATGTTCTTTTAAGGCTTGTTAGGGAATTTTTCTTTGCTTTCCATTTATAGATTCAGACTGTTTGCTTCTTTTCAGGGAGTTGCTAAAAATTAGGTAGACCCACCTTTATTTTGTAGGTGGTGGGGACTAAATGTTAACAGTTAAAATACTGATCCCTTTGCTTACTAATTTCACTTAGGAAATTTACTTACTTTGGTTAAACTATTTTTGACCAAAAGTAGGCCACTAATGATTCTCTCCAATTTTTGCTGAAGGAGTTGACTTAAAACTTTAAAACAATGCAGGGGTCTAGGTGTTGATGCAGATATATGACCTGAATCATGAAATTTGGCTTATAGCTTTAAAAAAAATTCTGTAATTGATTCCCATTTCATAATTTCAATAGCCCTGGCATTTCTACTCTTAAAAAATTTAGTATGCTCTACAGTTATTTTAGATAATTAACTTTCAAAAATGTTTATTAGTCCTTAGAGAGAGAGCTTTTTTAAAAGAGTCTCATGAGCATCAGTCTGGTTTTAAAAACAGTTGCTTGTAAGTTTTATTGGAATATGAAGAAAACATTCTAATTGGTCCTCTAAATAGCTTAGCTGAGGATTTAATAAAAGAATTTATGCAAAGCACTTAGCCACTGATGGGTGGCTATTAGTATTACGTGCAGCATAAATTGAATTGCAGTTGATGGAGAACTTGGGCTTCTGAACATCAGTTTGGATCCCTGTCCACTTTGTTTCTACTTTGTGTCAGGCAGTATTCTGGTGTCCAGTTGGAGCAGAAAGAGAATCTCATTTCTGATCTTTAAGAAACATAGTTTCCACTAGTTGTAGGCAACTATGAATAATCACATGTGATCTTACCTTGGAACATACTTGTTGCTAAACTTAATTAAGTCAAACTGGTTTTGCCATCAGAAGTCTGTGCCTGATAGATTTTGTTTGTAAAGACCAGCCATCTTCCTCTTGCTTAGCCTTGTTTTAATCTAAAAGTCTTTTCTTTGGCAATTTTCTTCTGCTTTCTTTGAAACAAATTTTTTTTTGTGAAGGCCTGTGGCTGGAAACTTTTGTAACCCAATTATCCTTGACAGGTTTCATTAAACCCAGCTCTCTGGGAGGAAGATGTGTGATGTTTTCATTGTGTTATCACTAATAATAGTGACAGCTAACTTTAAGAGCTTATGATGTGGCATGGTCTGTTTGCAGGGAATTACATTTATTGACTGACTTAGTTCTTAGACATATTTATGTATTTGTGAGGGAGGCAGTCTTATCCCCATTTTCCAGATGAAAACACTGAGAAACAGATAGTTTGAATGAATGGCACAAGATTGAGGTGTTCACAGACAGCAAACTAAGACTTGAATCTGAGTTTTAACATTGTCGGAGGCTCACAATATGTTTTTGTATGAAACCCCATTGTTGAATGGTCTCAAGGCATTGCTTACTTCATAGGGCTTGCTGTAAATGTGATTAAATAATTGTATGCTTAACAAGGAGGAGGAAAACAATTCCTGTCTGCTAAGGAGTTTTCTCATACTGGGATGGTGTTTGACTGGGTTCCTTGTTAATGGGCACATGAAGGATGCTATCGCGTTTTTTCACACCCTGCAACTCAACACACGAGACATTTTTTTGCCACTGAGGTTTGTTTTGTGTGTGTGTGTGGGGAGGGCAATACTTGGTTTATCAGTTGGTGACAATAATATTGTATATATACAAAATTTCATTGGCAGACTAGTGTTTCTTTCTCACTCACATGGCTGCAGGTCAGCTGGACTTTGGATAATTTAGTCTGACCTCTGCTGGGATTGGGTCTAGGGTGCTCTTTGGGTCCAGATTTGCTCTGTGTCTCTCTGCTTTCCTGGACCAGCAGCTACCCCAAGGCATCATGTTCTGGTAAAAGACAGGAGCATGAGACTGCATGTTTGCCAGCTCAGGCACATTTCGAGCCTCTTGGGCATTATGTCTGCTAATTTTCTATCAGCCAGAGCAAGTCGCATTGTTAAACCCAGAGTCAAGGGGCAGAAACATGCTCTACCCATGTGATACCTTGGCAAAGGTGCAGGTGTATAACCCTACTGCAGGGGAGCAAAGAATTGGACCAATGATTCCATTTGTCAAAATTGGCCTCTTTAGTTTAAACAGTTCTTTACAATAAGAATATTTGTATGTGACTATTTTTTAATTATAACAGTGATATATATGTTTAAGGTAGACAAATTAGAAAACAAAGGGGAAGGAAAAAGTCTGAGAAGCCCTTACCTCCCCCATGCACGGATAGCCATAGCTGAACTTTTTGGTGTTTTCTTCCCTAACTAAATTTGGGATTACTTAAAGGTAATAAAGGGGGGAAAAATCAGTATCTTTTTCATAGGCCTACCTAGACAGGAATTGTTTTCCTCCTCCTTGTTAAGCATACAATTATTTAATCACATTACAGCAAGCAAAAAACCCAGAGCTTACTATGTGCAACCCTGCCTGAAGGAAAAACAAAAATAAATAAAAAATCTTTTTTTTTTTTTGGAGGCAAATGGTATTTTCTCTCTTCGTGGCCTGCAACTTGCTAAATAGGCACCCAGAATCATCCTGTAAACACTGACTGAGCTTTGGAGCCCCCTAATGAGTAAGAGGAGCATTATTCTAATCATTGTACAGACCCCTAAGTCAAGTCAGAAATATGTGGTAAGGTGCCTGGCAGTTCACCTTAAGGAAGCTGAACAGTGAAGGAGAGATCATCTTCCTGAGAGAAGGATCTTGCATCCTGGCTTCTTGACAGGCAAAGGAATGCCCTGAATACTGGTCCTGAATTTCACAATTGAGATGTATGTTGGAGCCCTAATAGTCAGAAAAGGCATGATTCTTTTCCTACTGAAGAAAGTCGTGTTTTTCAAAACATCATGGCTTGTTTGGAATGTAAAACAAAGAATCTGTATGTGTTTGTAAGTTGAATCCAATAGTAATAAACCAACTTTGTAGATAGCATGAACTAGAATTTCTAACACAGTTAGGATCCAGTCTTCTGTCCTGGGGGGGGGGTTGGTGGGGAGGGGAGGGAATATTGAGACATTTTTCTTTCTTGGACTATGGTAATTGGTTTGGAATGACATTTGAAAAAATTTTAAAACCATTTCAGAGGGGATTTTACCTCAAGAGGGAAAGGGAAAAACAAACAGCACAATCCTAGAAAACATTTTTTTTCTTTAAAATTAACCTGGAGGCCTTTGTGTTTCAGGGTTGCATAGAGCTTCATGGGTTTCTCATCCTAGATGCCTCCTTAGCTTGGTGGGCGAGACAAAGAATTGAGATTAAAGTGAATTTACATAAAATAAGACTTTTTTCTGGGTAGCCTTGATATTTAGTAAATATCAAGGGGGGACTAGAGATGTGGGTGGGAGCTGGAAAGGTATGAGGGTTCAGAGGAGACCTCTTAATGTGGGTCCATGTGAGCATGTTTGTCAGGTGTTGATGTGCT